CTCTGAACCAGCTCCATTTTGGGAACCCAGCAGCTTCCCGGGCTTTTTGTGGCATTCATGATGCTTGATTTTTTTTTGAAGGGGGGGGGGGGTGGATAAAAAAAGCAGCTCCATTTTTCTGCCCCCAAATCCCACCCTCCTTTCACTTCCCCGTCGCTCCCAAATCTCCCAAATCACTTCCCAAGCAGAGCAGGATTGCACAGATCAAAGCCCTGCCCTGCAAACCCCACAAGTCCTTTAAATTAAGTTTAAAAAAGCCCCATCCCGGTGCTAAATTAGGGTGTAAATGACTAATTAACTGCTGTGATTTGTCCTCCCCGGAGGGGTTTGTGTTTTTTTTTCTGCAGCAATCACCTCTCGGGGACCGGGGGTGGCTGAGCTGGAAAATCCCTGATGCTCAGCCGGTTTGTCCAGCCCGAGATTTCAACTTCCAAGCAATAAATCATTTCCCAAGCTGCTTTTTCTGCTGGGCTTGGGGAGGTATTACCAGGTCTTGGCTGCAGGTTGGGAATTTTGGGAGCTGCAGTGATGAAGCTTTGCAGATTTGATGTTCATTCTGCACCTCCTGCCAGCAAATTGGGGGGATTTTTAGGACACCTAATATAACTTAATAACCCATTTGGAAATTAAAAAGGGAATATATATATATTTTTTTAAAAATATAGTATATATATACAATAAATAAATGAGATCCCAGTTGGATTTTCCAACCCTCCTGGTCTGGCAACGTTGCTGCTGGTGGAGCTCTTTTAATGAGCAAGTTATTTTAGGAGCTGCAGGAGGTTATTCCCACTATAGATCATTTTTACAGCTGCTTTCAAGCAGAGGAGGCTTTGCAGAAAAAGGGGAATTGCTTTGTGGTAAATACCCCAAATTCTGCCCAGTTTGTGATTAATCCCAGGGCTCTTCCTCACCAGTGGGATTTGCTCACTCTGGGTGGTTCTGCCTTTGCTCACTTGGAGTTTTGAGAGAAGAAATTGTATTTTTTTCCCCTCATTCTGCCACCCTGGGCTGCATTCCTGGTCCTCCATCCTCATGGAAAATCCCTCCTCCCTGGTTTGCAGGTGGGTGGTGATTCCCAGAAATGAATCCAGGTGCCAAGGAGAGAGAAAATGCCACGTTTGTTCCGTGGATTTTGCAACTTAGGGAAGGCCAGAGTTGGGTTTTTATTCTAAGTGTGGTTGAAAATCAGCTTGGACTCACTGTGGGCATTGTGAGCTTCTCTTTCCTGGAATATTGGAGGGGGGGAAATACCTGGATTTTCTGCTTGTTTTCCAAGTGAACTAATTCCCAGGGAGAGCTGGAGGCTGGACAGGGATAATTGATGTGCTCGAAAACAAAGGATGTGGCAACTTCTGAAGTGCCAAAGGGAGTTTTTGTTTGTCCCCCAATTTCAGGATGCTGAGAAGCTGCATCAGGGCTTTTCCTGAGCACACGTTGTGCCAGCCTTGACTCCTGAATTTCCTGCAATTGTTCAGGGTAAACTTCTCAGGTTTGTTTGTGCCCAGGCTGGAACAAGTGCTGGAGAATGAGGGGATGGTTGAGTTTCAAGGAAAACCTTTTTTATTTTTTTTTTTCTTGCACAAACCCACGGTGGGTCCTGCAAAAAAAAAAAAAAAATCCACTGAGAGAAGGTGTTTCCAGAGAAGCTGTGGCTGCCTCTGGATCCCTGGGAGTGCCCAAGGCCAGGTTGGAGCAACCTGAGCTGGTGGAAGGTGTCCCTGCCCATGGCAGGGGGTGGAATGGAATCTCTTAGTCCTTTCCAACCCAAACCATTCCAGGATTCTGGAATTCTATGAATCGAACCACTTCCCCCTTCTCTCTCAACAACCCCATCGTGGCCGTGCCGAGTTTTTCCGAGGCACTTTCACATCCTCTGGCAAAGACATTCCAGAAATCACTGGCAGGGAGCAGGAAAGGGGGATGATTTAGGGGAGCAATCTGCAGACTGATGCTCCTCTGAGCCCTCACCCTCCATATCCAACCCCTCTGCTGGAAACACTTCAGGAAATGAGGCACATTCCATCCTGCTTCCCTAATTTCTGATGGAAATCAGAGCCCCACTTTGATTTCAGCCACATCCTGGTTGGGAATGTTTCCCTGAGCCTACCTGGCTCCTCATTCAGGTTTTTGCTGCTTGCCAGGAGGAATTCTGCCCTTTTATGTGCCTGGAACAAGTTCCTGCTTTTCATGCATTTAAGTAACTGTTGTCAGGTCTCAGACACAGGAAAATGGGGAATTTTTTCCAGGGCTTGGAGATGTTGGTTTGTGCTGCTTGCTTGGATGGGCTTTGCTGCCTTTTTCCCTCCCACATTCCCACCTTGCTGAAAATTTGGGACCAGAAAATGCAACAGGTGGCTCTGGGCACACTGAGGATGCAGCTCCTTTTTTTGGGGGAGGGGGTCCTTCCTGATGGGAATCTGGGTTTGGAATCCCAGGCACGGGAAAACCATGCTCAGGGTTAGCAATGCAAGATGAAAACTGGGAATGCCAATTCCCCCTCCCCCCAGAAAAATCAGCCCCAGGCTCTCAGACCTGCCTTTTCTCCCTGTTTTACACATTCTCCTCCAGCTCCCCCCTGGCAGATTTGCTTTCCTGGTTTTTCCAGGGTGTGGATCAAAGGTTAAAAATTAAACTATTAAATTTTTAAAAAAAAAAATTATTTCCCTAATTCACCCAAATGTGAAAGGGGCTTTTCCAGCTGATCCCAAACATTCTCAGATGCTCCTGAAGCAGAGCCAGCACCGGGGAGGAACAATCCCTGTTGCTGTTATGGCTTTTTTTTTATTGATTATTCCCTAATTCTCCTGCGGGAGAGCTCGGCTACATCCAATTCCTTTTCGACAGAGGGTTTTGTAACCACTCCAGAGCCAAACAAAGCCTGTTTTGAAGGACGGGAGAGCATCATCCACGTCCAGCTCTGCTTTCCCGAGCTGTGGCAGCACCATCACCCCCTCGGAGGGAATATCGGGAATATCGGAGCCAGTTCAGCTCCAAAGGTGCTGGCACGAGGCAAACCCCCCCCCCCCCCCCCCCCCCCCCCCCCCCCCCCCCCCCCCCCCCCCCCCCCCCCCCCCCCCCCCCACCTCGGCTGGATCCGCAGCCAAAATGTCTTTTATTCCTCGGGAAGAGGGACCAGAACGAGGCGTTGCAGCATCGGGAAAAGCTGTTGCGCTTGGAACGCCGAGCGCTCGATTCCAAAGGGAATTGAGGAGCTGTTGGAGAGCCGGGATTTGTCAGCAGCGCCGGTGTGAAATGCCATTAAATGGGGATTTCTGCCAGAGGGGCAGCTGTGAATTGGAGGCTCCTCCGTGTCCCTCGAGGGGCGGTGACAAAGGAGTGGCCCCGGGGCCACCAGCAGCGGCTGAACTTTGGATCGTGGCACAACCCGAGCTCTGCTGACAGATCCCAACCCCAACCCGAGCTCTGCCAGCAGATCCCAACCCCAACCCGAGCTCTGCCAGCAGATCCCAACCCGAGCTCTGCCAGCAGATCCCAACCCCAACCCGAGCTCTGCCAGCAGATCCCAACCCCAACCCGAGCTCTGCCAGCAGATCCCAACCCTCGGGCACGACCAGGCAGGGAAGAAAAAAAAAACAGCTGCCTTGGGGTGATGCCATTTGGTGCTAAACCGTGAGTTTGCTCATCACTGAGGGGGTGGAGAGGGGATGGACGGCTCTGCAGCGGGGCTGGGAGGGAGAGGGTGCTACAAATGCACACCCAAGTCACGCCACCGACACGCAGCAGCCTTCCCTGGGCTGCTCTTGAGCGCTGACAAAGGATTCCCAAAGCCAACCAGGGCGGGGAGGGGAGTTATTTTTAGGGCTGTTTTACCGAAGAATTCTAGTTGCAGTGTATTCTCCCGTGAGTGGAGATCACACAGAGCCACATGGAATCACAGGATCACAGAATTAGCCAGGCTGGAAAAGACCTCTGGGATCATCGAGGACAACCTGTGACCCAACCCCACCTTGTCACCCAGCCCATGGCACTGATGCCACATCCAGGCTCTGCTCAAACCCCTCCAGGGATGGAGAATCCACCCCCTCCCTGGGCAGCCCCTTCCAGTGGCTGATCCCTCTCTCTGGGAAGAACTTCCCAATGTCCATCCTAAACCTGCCCTGGGGCAGCTCAAGGCTGTGCCCTCTTGTCCTGCTGCTGGTTCCTGGGAGCAGAGCCCGACCCCCCCCGGCTCCCCCTCCTGTCAGGGGGTGGCAG